TTCTTCAGTTTACAGTAAAATGATGTGGCATCAAACTAAATTGTACGTGATGTCGTCAGATCATGTGCATCTTGTGTTTTGTTTCTCCAGAAACAAAACCGATACTCATCAGGTTCCCAGTATGTGTTCAGTATGTTTTTCAGGCTAAGCTTGTTTTACAAATTCAACTGAATGTTTATCTGCATCCTGATATCATTCTGGGGACCCCATGAGTAAAGGGCAAGAAAACAGGCCGGTAAGATCCTTAAAAAAAAACAAAAAAAACCCAGGCCTTTTTGGAGCATCTAAAGTTGATATCACACTTCAGTGATCAGTGACTATGGTCTATTTTAAATAAAGGCCTATAGTTCATTTTTGTTATGTAGAATAGCTTGGAAACAGTATAAATGAAATCAGGAATCTATAGGCCTCATTTCAGCTTCAGACCTCTATTATTTATGCTGTATGATTCACTTAACTTTTTCACTTCAGCAACTTCATGATATGCAGCAGTCACCAAGTGGTGCAATGTTATTAAGCTGCTTTCTTGATATATGTTTTTTAATAGGTTTTCTTACTAAAGATTTTATTGTATTTTATTGACCAAAATGTTAGCATGCCACCATTAAGAGAAGCCGGAAAGTTTGGTAAATAATTGTGGCAGGCAAATGGGGTGAATTTCTGTAATAAAAATTGGAAAACACCCAACTCCTCTACATTCACTGGTCATCAGGTTGGAATGAATTATTTGACATGACCACCTAATGGTTTCATAAATTCTGCCTACTGATGATTGATGAAATCCTCTCATTAGCAAGTTGTGTGAAGGAAAAAATAAACATGGAACTTCATACACAAATAACTTAATGATTTAAGAAAAATGGAATTAAAACGCAACTTTCCATTTTGCATTTTAATCTCATTTTTGGAATTGTCTGTTTGATTGATTGATTGATTTTATTTTATTTCATCCTTCACTAATTAAATTTTTCATATATTTATTTATTGCAATATGTAAATATTTATTTATTGTATTTTTAAAAACATTTTCCATTTATACGTATATGTGAAAGGTGTAATGACTTCATTTTGTGTTCACTTTCATCTGTCCAGTCTAAGAAAACCTCATAGTGATTGATTGGTGATGTTACCCTTGTCCTAAAAATCTATTGGCTAGACTGTTCAACCTCGAGACGAGGTACATTTTCATATGCTAACTGTTTTTCAGTCAAAGTCCAAACATGTGGACTGCAGTTCTTCTGCTCCTTGACGTTACTCTCACTTGTGCTAGTGAGTAAATGGTTTAAAGTTGACTGTTTAAGCGACTGTATGATTTGATGTTTTAAAGTTATGCACTAAAACCATGTATAGTAGCTGCAGAGGCCAATAATTATATTTAATAGGCCAAGAAAAATTTGTTATGTTAAAAATGTAATGTTTTGGAATTTACTTGGAATCATTTGGTTACCAGGTGTCCATTTGGAGTCTCCGAATGGCTTTTTTTGAAAAAACGCCTAGACTTTTTTTTTAATAAAAGCTTACATAAACTACATTTTTGGGAGTATCATCTTCAAATTTGAATCAAAATATGGTCAGACATTCAGCTTTATCTTTATGGTGTTTTCAGGCCAATAGCATTAAAGCCTCATCCATTTTTCCCTTAGTGAATTTCATTCAAAGATATCGTGAGTCACTTTCATGTACAATTTACCTTGTTTTACTCTGTTGCTATACTAATTTTGAGTTATTATGACTCCAGAGTAACAAAGGTTCAAGTGTCTAGTTTCAAACAATACCAGATTTATAAATATAGACCATAGGGTTCAAGAGCTACAGACATTTTTATTTGGGTATGTCGTTTTTCAGAAAATGCTCAAAAATAGGGGCGCACAGTAAGTGGTTAAAAGTCTCAAATTTAGGAGTTTTTATAACAGGGTCAGTTTCATTTGTAATATTTATTTGGTTTTGAATATTTGGCTGATATCATCGTGGACTTGTTTATTCAATATTTAATACTCTAATGTAGCCAGAGATTGTTGCAGATATTAAAATTTACTTAAAAATGAAAATGTACTCACCTTCATGTCATTCCAAACCTGTATGACTTTCTTTCTTCCGAGAAATACAGTTTTTGTTTTTATTGTTGTTGTTGTTTTCTCCATATAATAGAAGTCAGTGGGGTCCAGTTTTGTTTTGGAGCCTATTTTTATTGTATGAACAGTTTTAAAATATTTATAATAACTAAAATGTTTACTTTTAAATAAAATATCAAAATATTTGAAGAAAAAGTTTTTTTGTCCACAGGATCACACTCTCTGACATACTTCTTAACTGCTGTGTCTGGAGACATTGACTTCCCAGAGTTCAGTATTGTTGGTCTGGTCGATGAAGAGTAGTTTATGTACTTTGACAGCAAGCAACACAAAGAAAGTTGTGCCAAAAACAGTGTGGATGAAACAGAAAGAAGGAGCAGATTACTGGGACACACAAACTCTGCTCGCAGCTGGAACTCAACACGCGTTCAGAAACAACAACCAAGTCACAAAAGATTGGTTCAACCGTTCAACATGTATGAACACATTCATAAATATACACAGAACACAATCACAGAATACAGTAGTATTACTTGTATTGGAATGTTATGTCTCACACTTGGCCCCGAAAAGTAGGAAAAGGAAAAAGAAAAGTCATTATATTATATGAGATAAAATATCAAGTGACATCTGCAATTAAACAAATGATGCTAGATTTTCTTTTCCAAAACAAACTTCACTTTTAAGCAAATGTTTGGTGTTTAGCTGACAGCTGACTTGTATCCTAGCCTTAAGGTTAAGGTCTTAAGGTCCAAAACCCCTCTAATATCACTTGTTTTTTTTTCATGCAATATACATACATAATCTCTCTTTCTCGGGTGTGCACACATTCTAGGAAATGTACGGCTGTGAGTGGGATGATCAGACTGGAAAAACAAATGGGTTTCGTCGGGAAGGTTATGATGGAGAGGACTTTATGTCTCTGGATTTGAAGGAGATGAGATGGACTTCACCAGCAGTCTGGAGAAAACAGGTACATCTATTTTTATCCAGGAGCGATCATGTGCATGTTTTCCTAAACAATCTTGTACTCCGGAGGTTTTTTTATTTACACATTCCGTTACTTTAGGCCTTGGTTATTTAAAGCTTTGTGTTAATACAAAAGTATTGCTGATAACCCAGTCACAGTCTGTGAGTAACCTGATGTTTTCCTCTGATCAAGCAGGAGATTCTGTTTCTGTTGGCATCACTGTTTTTGCTGGGGTCCTGTTGATTGTCATTGGTGCCGCTGGATATGTGGTGTATCTGAAGAAAAGAGGTGAGGATGGACAGCTACGACAGCTTATTCTTGCTTACACAACTGCACATAAAACACAAGACTTGAGATTTCTGGGATGGGAACAGATGAATAAACAAGGTTTTTAAAATAATGTGTATTTTCACACTTTCTATTCATCTTTTTGGTTCATTCATTCATGGACATTTTTTCATTTTGAGATGTACAAAGCTGGAAATTGTATATATTTCAAATGTATATATTTCTCTTCAGTGACAAAGAAGGAAACAAGAATGCCAATGAGTGATTTGAAGGATTTAAGTTTTATTTGCTTTTGATATCAGTACTGACCCTGAACCCGAAATCCTTCGAAATGTGATTTGTGTATGTTGATTCAGATACTAAATCACACTTTTGATTTACTAGTTAGTAAATCTAAACTAGTTAGTGTAGATGTTAACACAAGACAACAAAACATTTTCACAGCATGGTGCTTATTTCATTCCATTGGCATATGATGCTTGGTTTGGCAAATCCATTATACTAAATTACAAGATGTATGTTATTTTGAAAGTAAATAAATATTATGTTTTGACTTTCCAAATGCTATTAGATGTTTTCTACTGTAGATTAAAAAATGCACTTTGCCACACACACCAAACAGAGCTAAATATATCAAATAGCAACCTTTTAATAAAATACCAATATTTTGCTGTTTGTGAGCATATTTTTTTCTCTGAAAAATGAAGTATGCATTTTCTTTACTCTTATCTTTCTGTTCAAACCTGGGATATATCCTTCATTTCCTTTCTGACATCATGCATGTTGATATAAAGTATTCATCATGTTTGGACCATGGTTGCACAATAAAGCAAATCAAATAGAGGGGCCATACTTGACCTACAAAATAAGAACATTAGAACTCATAAAGTGCTTTTTCAATTTGTTTTGTTTGTGCTAGTTACAGAAAATGCTATTTAAATATTACAAAGAATGCAGCAACATGGTCTTTTGTTTGAACAAATGAAGTAATAAAATGTTGAGTTTGAATAGGAGATCAGATGTCTGACATATATCCTCTGTATTTTGCCTGTTTATAACATAAAGTAAAAAAAGAATACATCTGCTGCCCGATCCCTCCAGGGACTTCAAGAGTTAAGAGACAGAAAGGCAGGTAACATCCTAATGATTTAACAAACAGGTCATTACTTCTTTGAAGCTCCACACTAACTAGTATAACTGTAAACAACTGAGTTTACATCAATCAAGTTATGTTTATCAAAGCTCAGACTCAGCAGTATTTAAAACACAATCAATTTACATTTTACATTACAAAATTACATTTTTTCCCCCAGCATTTTCTACAACTGACATTTAAAATCTTTAAATAAAAATACAAAAATCTTGCACAGCAAAACCAACCCGAACACATGTACAGCAGTCTAAAAATCTTAAGCAAAGACTGAAACACCACACATACAACTATTCTCAAAGGTTTTTTACAAGACCAGTTTCTCTGCACTCTATTCAGCCTTTAAAATCCCCTCCAGGTCCAGATTTACTTCTCCTTCTACAGAAGAGACAAAGATATACAATAAGCAAACAGACAGTTATACATGAAAACTAAAGATGAATGAAATGTAAAAGTTTTGAGAGTGTTTTTTGCCGTTTAGCGAAAACGATTGTTATTTACCTTATCCTTTAAATCTGTGTCACTGGAGTCTATATGAAAACAAAAAATATTTATAAATAAAATTCTATTAACATTAACGTTCTTGGATGTTTAATATATTCCAGGGCATACCGTATCACAAACACAATATTAGTCTATTTATACTGCAATACAGTATTTTTTTTACTATAGAACAAATAATTCTAATGCAGTGATACTAGAAAAAAATCAAAGATTGCAGTGATCAAACTGAATTGACTTACCAGAAGAGCTGAATGTCCAGGAAAGAAACTTTATCGTGCCGTAAAGAACAAGTGCAACAGCAACCATCGATACATGTCTTTTTAAAAGGTAAATGCTGCATTGTCACTGACCGGTCACATAGTAAATCCTGGATGGACTGATGTCTGCAGGAGGATGAAGATCAGACCTGCTCTCTTCACTGTAGGCTAGCTACAGTCCTGATGAACATTAGAGATTTCTCTTGACTCATTGGTACTGAGAAACCCCCTCCATGACCCGGTTTCTCCTGAACAAACCAGCACTCCAGAACCGGACATCCAGAACCGGAAACTGTAAGTAAGAGAGATTATGTTCATTGGTCACACGCATAATTTAATATATTAAGCTGTTTTCTTGATTACAAAAACTTACCACCAAAAAACAATGCAAATGTGATGATAGATGTCTTATATATGGTCGAAATATCAGACATCGTTGCTCTTTATGTTAAAATGATAACTAGGTATGTAACTGTGCTGTTTGGCGTGCTAAAGATCCGTCTGTTTTCCCCAAAACATTCGAGCAGCTTGCACCGTTTCACTTTCAGTTCCGAACTTCCGCGGCGTCCGCGGCGTGATTACGACGCATGCGCATAAACTACTGCTTGTTTTTACTGAATGTCTTTTTGCCATTTGAAAATGCAATTCTCCGCGGACGTGTGACATGTTTTTTTTTATGCAGCATCATGTCGAGAGGCCTTGTAGCCTCTTGGAATATACAGTAAAACACTCAAAACCATGCATTTCCCTACTAGTAAACTATTATTCTCTGCTAGGTGGCGCTCCATACAAATAAACACTACTACAAATACTACTCCAGACCACGGTGAGTAGTAACCGAACGCGTCCAGAATCTGTCGGGGTGCGCGGGGTTAGTTGTAACATTTAAATATTTGCACACATGCTAGCATTTACAGTATTTACTAGTTGACATATCAACATATATAGAGAGAAAAGAATGTGCCGAAATTCAAAAATCTTTTTTAGTTTTTATTTAAAATTAGACGAATCTGTTATTATTTTAATCTCCAATCTGTTATTTAGCAGTTAAGATAAGTCTTTAATGCTTTGCTAACTGGGTCATTCTATGGAAATGTCAATTTTTCTGTCCCTAGCCTTTACAGAAATATTACACTTGAAAAACACTTTAGGGTTACAATTTTTATATATTTAAAAATAAAACAATGTGTTATTTGAACAATTACACCTTCTTGAGCCATCAATGTGGCAATATTTGTTTTTAATTAATTATAAAGAATTCCAAGC